TCTCCACAGAGAGAGTGTTTCTTAATCTTTCTTGTGACAGTCTATGAAGCCTGTGAGTTCTTTCTGAGTATAATTATTTTTAAATCTGCAAAATAAGTTCCATAAATTAGAGAGAAAAACAATCCCACTAAAATACAACTCTACAATAATTTAAAATGAGTAATATAGTAATCTGTGTGCTTCTTATTCACTAAATTGTAAGCACTCATAACATAATTTGGAAGCACTGATGACTATAATGGTATTTTAAGATCTCTCCAACAACTGTAATGTGATATGAAAATATCTGTGATTTCTACTAGCAAAATATCACAGGTGCTACTAATACCACCGTGATTTGCTGCCCACATTTATAATAGAAGAATATGCTAAATCTTAATGAAAATAAAGATGGAATTTTTACTCTTTAAGAACAGGATCTTTTGAACTGTATCCACAAATTTCTTGGTGGGGGGAGTCTCCAGGTAAAGAAACTTTGACCTAGAATACTCCTGTCTCATTTCCCTCTTCACTTCCAAGTTTACTCATCTTCTTAGAGCACTTCCTTCAACATTTTATTTTAAATTGTGTCTCTACACTCATATTCATTTTTTTCTATGTTGTTTTTATGTGCTGTCGAGTCGCCTGCGATTCACAGTGAACATAGTACAACAGCTCTGAACCCTGCCCTATCCTGAGCCAGTGTCACTGTCTCTGACATGTCTATCCCATTACCTCACTTAGTATATATTTCATTTTTTTAAAATTGTAAATTCTCTTCCATCAGAAAGTTAGTTCCCCTAAACAAGAGAAGAAATTGTTTTGTTTTGTTTTGCTGTCATCCCAGTAAATGTCCAGTGAATATAATGAAAAGTTCTCCAAGAACTTTGGTTCTCAATTTTTTCTGTAAATAGTGACTGATTTGTGAGACTTTTAATAGATTAAAATGTTATAAATGTCCTTAACATTATGATTATGTTGACATTTCCAAGGTTAACCTTAAACATTAGCACAGAGACCTGTGAGGAATGAGGGTGTTGATGTTTTCAAACCTCATTAACAGGTATCTTCCAAGGATTGTTTAGGGGATCTGGGTCTTATTCAAGCTCAGAAAACACCTTAGAGGAAAAACTCCACCAATAAAATCCTGCTTAATCTTTCTAAAGGGAGCGCCCTGCTAACCCAAAGGTCAAGTGCCTTTCTGATGGTTCAAATCTACCAGCAGTTCTGAAAAGAACAATGAGCAATCTCCTCCCATGTGATTTACATCTTCAGAAACCCAATTCTGGGTTAGCCAGGAATCAGTTTCAAATTGACAGTAATGAGGGAGTCTTGCCAGGATGGCATTCAGGTACCTATGCCCAAAACAGCAATACTAATATTTTTATTTCTGACAGTGTGTTAAAAAGAAACCCATGTGGTTTCCACGGGCTTTAGTGTCAGCTGGACCTGGGTACCTACTCTAATGGTCCTATAACGGTGCACCTGTGGACAAACACGACAGGGTCTTGTGAGAATGAAATGGGATTGCTCACAGGGCACACAGCATAGAGGTAGTGTTCTAGAAATGTTCTTCCATTTCTCTAGGTCATTTCATATTATGTGCCAAAGCATTTTCCCATTCCAGTTCATAGGATCTTGATGAAGATAGGAGGGAGCAGGGCTCTCCTCTCTTGCATGTAAATGTTCTGCAACCAGAACGGACCACTTGTTCTCTGCCACTAAAGACTGGCCCCTTCCCTCAACCCACCAGTGTGGCAGAAATTACTGTCTGCACCAAACATTGTAGTTTTCCCTGCCTGGTCTTCTTTTTGCTTACTTTAGGATATTTTATGTGTCTTCAGAGAAAGAAAAACCTAATTATTATGCCCAGTTTTCCAGTGTTAAGAGTTTTCAGAAAGCACATTCACTTTGCAGATAGAGACAGCAGGCAGAATATATACATAGTCTCAGGAACCCTCCCATCCCATCCCATACATAAGGAAAGAGACTATTTACTTGTCCATTAAGAGCTCTGGTAGCCTAATGGGTGAGGAATTGCACTGACATCCCAAAACAACACAGTTTGAACCCACCAGCTGCTCCAAGGGAGAAGCACAAGTAATTTCCTTCTGCATGATTTACAGCTTCTAAAATCCAGAATTTCGACTAGATGGCACATGACAACTTCTGCTGAATGGCAGAGCCAGAATTATAACCCAGGACTTGAGCCATTTTGTTACAGGACCACAACCTGTCGCACCTGTTTCCATATACTTAGTTTGGATTTAGGAAAATCTTATTAATTGACCACTAAGAGTCAGAGCCAGGTCTAACTGGGAGATGACAACGAAACCTTCCTCTTGCTAGACAGTCTCCCCAGACTTTGTGAAGGCCACGGAGGGGAAATGTTGCAGTTACTCTCTTTGGATTCATATATCTTTCTTGTTGCAAAAAAGTGCTTATTTCAGCATCCATCGTCTCCATTTTTGTTGTGTAGACAATCTGCCCTGTCGGAGGATTGGTGGTGTTATTATGAGTTTATTATTAGATTTATTTCTCCTATAAGCAAAAGTGTTCACAACATTCCATCGGGGAGTCTTCTTAATTGTCATATAAATGGCATCTTATCTAAAGCGAATATTTATCTTTCCTCTTCCATGTAAGAGGATGCCTCTTCCATGGATGCTTCTGGTGACTGCTGCAATGGGCTTTTATGTGTCAGAAGTGTGAGGATGGCGCAGAATAGAACAGGGTTCAGATCTTCTGTTCATAGGGTCGCTATGAGTCATGCTCGACTCAAGGCACCCAACAACAACGACAACATGGAAGAGGGTAAAAGAGAAAGAAAACATAAGCAACCTTAAGTATTGTAGAGAGGAGAGTCCTTTCCCCACTCACAACTCACCCAAGTGCCTTCAAAGCCAAAGGTGAGTTGAGAGGGGGGGAAGGAAAAAATACATATTGGATCATCTTTGAGGAGTAGCCAAGAAAGAAGGGGGAGAGAAAGTTGGCAATGATGCTTTGGGGATGTTGGGCCCAGCTCCCAGGTCTCCCCCTTCTCCTCCCCAGCCTGAGGCCAGACGACCCCCTCCCAAGCTGAAGGTACCGGGAGAGGCTGCAGCTTGCCCTCCTCCTCCACGTCCAGGAGCCCAGCCTCTCTCCTTCCTCGAGAGAAGGTGAGCGCGGCGGGCGCAGCGGACTGGGTGGGTGTGGCCCGCGGCTCAGGAACAGCCCCAAGGCCCCGCCACCGCCGGGCGAGCCGCCCGCCAGCCCGCCTGCCTGGCGAGCGCAGGCTCTTCTTCCAGAAACTGCGAGGATCCAAGCGCACTGTTTGTGCACCACAAGGTCAAGTCGGGAACTGGAGCCGGAGGAGGAGGGGCGAGGAGGCGAAGGGTGGGGAGAGGGGCGCCCCGCTTCCTCGCCAAGTGCCAGCCTTTGGAAGTTGCCCCTCGGTTTTTAACCCTTTATGGGACATTGAAAAATGGGATGGTGAATGTAGGAGACAGAGTTACCCTGGGGCAAATGAAAACTCCTACGGGGGTCTAGACATGCTACCACCCACCACCCACCCAACACCGCGCTCTGCACCCCCGGAAATGCGGGGCAGCACTGGGCGCCTGGAGGCATCCGGGCTAAGGGTGGGGGGAGGGGGCAATGAACCCGTAGGGAAGGCACCCTTTCTACACACCGCCCCACTAGTCTTGGGATCGCCCACAATTTCAAGTTTCCCCCGCCTAGGATGTTAGTTACAATCTGGTGTGGGTGGGGGAGGAGGACCGCGCCCCCTCCCCTAGACTCCCGCGTGCCCCTCCTCTCCGCTCCTGCCAGCACTTTCTGCTCACTTCTGGCGCTGCAAAACGCCACGCGATTTATTTGATTCGTATTTTAAAGCCCGCATTCAGGAGCTGGGCCTAGGGCAAGGGTCTTCTAGCACTGGAGCCCCGGAGGGGGGGCGGGGTGCTCAGTGCAAACCTCGTTCCCTCCGCGAGTGTCGCCTTCAGGCTGTTATTTGCAAAGAAACGTCTTTTTGACGCAGGGAGAAATGGCAAATTTTAAGTACGTCATTAATATGGCGCCAAAAGATTTTTTTAAGTATAAGCTTGCTTTCCCCCCCCCCCCAAGGTTGCAGGGGGCGCCGCCCGGGTCTGGGGAGTGAAGGGGGCGGGGTGTGAGCAGAAAGTGTGAGTGCGAGAGTGGAGGGGCGGGGTATGCATGTGAGTGTGTGAAGTGTGTACAGACCTGATGGGACTTGCACAGGCGCTGCCGCTGCTCGGGCCCGGCCCTGGGGACAGGGCGGGCTGGGGGCGCCCCAGAGCCCGTGGGGAGTCAGACTCAGGGTGCGGGCAGGCGAGTGCCCCAGCAGGGCACCCTCCCCCTGGGGCGGGTAGCGCTACCTGGACCCGCCGCGGGAGCCAAACAACTGGGGGGGGAGGGGGAACGGACGACGGGGGGTGTCGGGAGAGGAGATCCGAGTGAATAAGAAAAAAGTGGCTACTCCCCCTCCCTCGCTCCTCCCGCCCGCCCCCACCCCCACCCAACACATTTTTTTTTTCTAAAGAGATCACAAGGAAGTCTTGGTTTAAAAAGAAACAGAAACATACACAGGGGGTTGGTGAATGGTGCCGACCGCGGCCATCGCAGTTGGAGGCTGTTTTTTTAGGGGATAGTAGCGTCCGTGGAGTTACTTTGCACCCACTCCTAGCGGTACCGGCTTTGGGTCCGGCGGATTGACAGTCCCCGGCGGGGGCACAGGGCCGGGAACGCCGTGGGTCGGGCTGCCTCCTTCGCCGCAACCCCGGATGGATGCGCGCCCCCCGCCCGCCCGCGCCGGCCCCAGGAGCTCCAGGTTTCGGGAGCATCCTTCCCGCTCCGGCCCTCTCCGCGGCGCGTAGCCGCGGGCAGCGCCCTTCGGGAGGGCAACGCGGAGCAAGGTAAGATTCAGTCTCCGGCAGATGGGCCCTGCGCATCTCCACAGCTTAATTTTGTGCTTTTGCAACAGATCTGCCGGCGCTCCTTGCTCCCTCGCTCGCTCTCTTGCTCTCTCACTCTCTCTCCTGCTGGCTGCCTGTTCTAGGAAGCCAGCGCGCAGGGGGGTGGTGGTGGGGGGGATGCACAGCACTGGGGAGAGAGATTGCGCATGTTGGTCAGTCGTGTTTTAAAGAGTACAGTGCAGGGAGGCTGAGAGGGGCGCATGCCACAACTTTTGGAAGGGTGAGCTCGGCGACCTTCTTTATTAATGACTGCGGCAAAGCACCCCCGGGCCGGCGAGGGGGCGCAGGCGGGCGGGGGCGCGCCGGGGCTGCAACTTGCCCGGCGGCTTGGGGCCGGGCGAAGGAGCTGCAGCGGGAGAAAGGTCCCGGGAGTGGGGGGAGGTCAAGAGCCTTGTGGGGGCGGGGGGCACTTGGAGGATCTGGAGCTATCTTCTCTCCTGTCTCCCGAGTTTCATTTTGTTGATACGCAGCACGTCCGGACGCCGAACAGGGCTGAGCCGGTGCACATGACCCAGCGCTGGGCTCACGTGCAGCCAGTCCGGCCCCAGACACCTTCCGGGGCCACCGCCTCCGCCCTGTTGCCCCCTCTCTGGGTTAGGTGCACGCGCGGGGAGCACGCGGGGGTAACATGCTGAGCTCTGGGGTGCGCAGGCTCTGCACAAATTAGACAGTTTTTTGGAGGGGCGGGGGACACCCTTTCCAGGTGAGTGTGGACGGTGCACGGCTCCGTTGCAGGGGACGGGGGCTGGGGTTTAGATCTGCTCCCACTCCAGGGCTGAGAGGGAGCCCGGCGGGGGAGAGGCTCTGGGAGAGTGGAAATGTACCGGCAACAGCCAGAGCAGCGGGTGCGCGCCCGCGGGGCGACGGCAGGGGGCGTGGCCCTTGTTTACCTTCTCCCAAGTCTGCTGGTTCGCGTCTCGCTCGGGAAAAGGCACAGCAGTCCCCTGCCCTGTGTCATCACTCCTGCGCCTAAGGTGGTACCGGGAAGATGCTGGCAAGTGGCGGCCCCTACCTGGGACGCACACACCTGACCCCCAAATGAGTGACATTGCAGCCCCCGCCCCCATCCAGCACCGCTGCAGTCCCTCTGCCAGATCTCCGGCCCCGCCCCGCCCCCGGCAGTGGCATCTTCCCGGCCTCACCTCCTTCCTCTCTCTTTTTTCTCTCTCCTCTCTCTGTCTCCTTCCTTCCCACCCACTCGCCTGCGTCTGCGGAGCGGCTCCCACCCGCCTCCTCCTCTGCTGGGTGCAGACTTCTAGCTCTCTCCGGTCCCATCCCACCCTTCCCCGGGCTCTGTGACAACCCCTTAGCCCGACCAGGGAATAGAAGTGGGTTAGCTTATCGAGTCTCAGCTTTCTATCGGATCATGGGGTTGTCTACAAGATAAGCAAGAGGAAGGCTTCATTCAAGCTTCCAGAGGCCCAGGAGCTCCCTGTCCCCTGCAAAACACAACTGTCCTGTCCCCAAGAGGCCCAGCTGCTCTTCCCAACGTCACCTTCCCCACTGGCGTCACGCCCATATCCCAGCGCCGCCTGGGTCCCGAACCACCTCTTGCCCTTTCGTCGCCTGGGCCGAGCCCCCAGCAGCCACCTCCAGCTCCTCCTCCCTGCTCCCGCGGTTGGAATCACGCCGGCGCGCCTGCTGCCTGCGGTCCCGCCGACTGCCTCCAGGGGCAGGCTGGAGGCGCGCACACCCTCCTCCTGCACAATCCTCTTAGCCTGGCCAGGCCACTCTTTTACCACAGGCCTCCAGCTGGACTAGGACGCCTGGGAGAAAAAGGAGGTGCGGCCGGTATGATCTCCCTTTGCTCCATGATGAGGACATTCTGCAGCGGACAATTCTGGTGTCTGCAGATTTCCAAACCTGTCCCAATCGCTTGGCACTCCTGGCTTATTTTCCCGCAGGATTCAGAGGTTCAAAAGTTTTAGCCATGCACAGAATTAAAAATGGGGGGGGGGAGGGTCATTGCAAAACCTCAAATGTGTATCAGTACAAAACCAAAGGGGAATTGGAGGGGTTGTGGCCACTCTGCCTTTGCTGAAAAAGCAAAGAGCCTTTTTTAGTGAAGGTGAACTCTTCACAACACCCTCTTAACTTTAATGTTTACAAACTGAATCCTAGGTCTCAGAGGCTATAGGATGGCTTGGTCCCTCTTTCAGGGTGGCACTAATTCCTTTTCTTCACTGAGAAAATTCCCAGTAGAACATTTGGCAAAAGAATGGGGCAAAGAACTGCCAACCAGGCCTGGCCTTGTTTCCTGGGTTCCCAGGATGCTGACTTCTTCCCTCCCTGATTTCCTCTCTCACCTTAGCACTCCAAGTGAGCGCACTATCCCTCCTATTCCATCTTCCTCAGGCAGGTTGAGACTCGTGAGAGCTCTAAGGAGTAGAGAAGGAAAATAACAACAATAACTGTAAGAGGAAGGAATGAGTAATAAAACTGACCCAGGCAGGGAGGAGGGCTTTCATGTTTAAGAGATGCTGTTTGCTTTTTAGGTCACAGGCTGCAAAAGCAGGCTTTGATCCGAAGTGGGTGAATAATTTATTGAGAAAGTTTGCATAGTAGTGGGGGGGGGGAGGATGTTTGTTTGATCTGGAGCCCTCTCAGTTGTCCCAAGTACTGTTGGCTGTTGTTGTGAGTGGAAAAGCATTTGGTTCCACAGCAAATGCTTCGCAGAGGGAAGTCCTTGCCCCAGGCAGCAAGACTTGCAGTGGTGAATGTTGGTTTTGAAACTGTTTGGCTAAGGGTCTTCTCAGCACTTTTGGAGATGAAGTGTTTAAGGATAGAGTTGTTTGGGCTTGGGACACAGCAAATATTTCCAGGGCCTTTTTCCAGTCCAGTGTATTTTTCTTTTCCCTAGATTGCCTGGCTAAATAGTAGCAATCCAAGAAACTATCAGAAACCTCCACGTAGTTTTCATTGACAGCTACTAAGGGTTGCAGGTCCTCAGAGCCCAGGTGCATGGCAGGGTCTCTGACACTGACTTCTCCATCTAATAGGCAACATCATGATAGATGGAGAAAATATTGAAGCTGCCAAAAGAGTTCATTTTACTTGGATCCATAGTCAATATCCCTGGCAACAACTATCAAGAAATCAAAAGATGTGCCTTATTAGGAAAATCTGTCCAGGACTTCTCCAAAGTGCTAAAGAGCGAAGATGTCCCTTAAAAGACTAAGATGCGCTTGATCCAAGCCATGGTCTTTTCAAGTACCTCCTCTGTATCTGAAAGTTGGGCAGTGAGTAAGGATGGCAGAAGAAAAATCAATACCTTTCTTTTGAATGATATTGAAGAGTACTGATTATCCCTTGGACTGCTGAAAGAACAAACAAGTCTGTCTTGAAGGAAATGCAGTCGGGGTGCTCCTTAGAATCAGCAATAGTGAAACTTGGTCTCACATACATTGGGCATGTTGTCAGGAGGAGAAGTCCTTGGAAAAAAGGACAACATGCTGGGAAAGGTGGAAGGTCAGACCCTTATGAAGATGGATTGACACAGACACTATAACCATGAACTTGAGCAGATTAGAAATCCATGAACTTGAGCAGATTAGAAATTGTAAAGACGGTGCAGGATAGAGTAAGGTTCACACTTACTGTTCATAGGGTCACTCTGAGTGGTAGGTGACTTGATGGCACTGAACAACAACAATAAACCATATCCTTATGGTTAAAGGGTGATGTTTTGGTTAACTGGTGTGCCTGTTAATGGGGAGATAGTTGTCTTATGTCCAAAGACCTAGGTCAGAGGCTTCTAGTACAATTTTTTTTATCACATCCAGTTTGCTCTTTAAGGACCTTGCAAACTCAAAAACTCAAATTCAGTGTCATCAAGTCGGCATACACTCAGATAGCTGGCCCGCCAGTAGGTTGCATGGGAGAAAGATTGTCCATCTTTGTCCTGTGGGATTGCTGGGGAATTCAAACCACTTGGTAGCACAACTCCCTATGGACTAGGCCAACTGAGCTCCCTAGGGACTTCACCCTTTTCCCCTTAAACGTTCTCTGAGAAGAGGTCAGGTTACAATTGTGAGGAAGCGTGTACTCCCTGTTTACTTCCCTCTGTGGGAGACTTCTACTGTATAGTTCAGAACACAAGATTCCTGGTTGATGCGTCTCACAATGTAAGAACTCAAAGGTTTGTTTTGTCTCCTGAGGGAGTCCTCTCCTTAGCCTCCACGCAGACAGTCTACAGGAATCTGGAATTGTGGACCTGTGCGCTTTTGCCTGCTGGGAGTGGGATATACCATCTGGAGTCAGACAGTCTTGGTCTGAATCCTGACTTTTCAGTTACCAGCTGTGACAGTCAACGGCGCCTTAGTTTCTTCATCTGTAAAAATGAGATTAATAACAGTACTTACCTCCTGCTCTTCAATATGGATTACATTTCAACATCAAGAAGAAAAAATCCTCACCCCTGGACCAATAGGCAACATCATGATAGATGGAGAAAAAATTGAAAACATCAATGATTTCATCTTACTTGGATCCACATTCAATACCCTAAGTACCAGCAGTCAGGAGATTAGGAGATGTATTGCACTGGGAGGAAAGTCTGCTGTCTGGGACCCCTCCAAATTACTGAGGAGCAATAATGCCAATATGAAGACTTATGTTGCACCTGGCCATGGTGTTTGCATCCATTTGCTATATGTCTAGTAGATGGACCGTGAATAAGGATGATAGAAGAAGAATCGATGCCTTTGAGTTGTGGCCTTGCAGAAGAGTGCTGAATATCCTGTGTGCTGCCAAAAGAACAAACTTAAAGAAAGTACAGTCAGAGTGCTCCTTGGAATCAGGGATGGCAAAGTTTTGTCTCGGGTGCTTTTGGCATGTTGCTGGAGGAGCTATTCCTTGGAAAGGAACATCATGCTTGGAAAGGTGAAGCGTCATTGAGAGGAAGACCCTCAATGAGACAGATTGGCATAGTGACTTCACCAATGAACTCAAGTATGCCAGAGAATATAAGGACGGTTTAAGATAGGACAAAGCTCAGATACGTTGTTCATAGGGTTGGTATGAGTTGTACTTAATTCAAAGACACATAACCACCACCACCTCGTGGTAGGGAGCTCTAGTGGTGTAGTGCATAGAGAGTTGTGCTGCAAACACAAAGGCAGGTTCTCTGTGGCAGTTCAAACCCACCAGCAGCTCCCCAACAGGGATAGTAAGAATGAACAGATGTGTATGCACGTTTGATTAGTGTTCGCTGATTGCCAC